GAACAGACTTTTAAGTGTCCTATGATAGCACTGAATTGATAAAATATGCATAGATTGTCTGTAACACATTAGGAAAAAGCAGTCTGAAGGTATTTGGTCTCAGCTGCTCTTACTTTAGTTATAACAATATTCTATGATTAATATTTATATTTGTGGCAGTAATCTGATGTGTGGCACACAGGCAGTATGTCTGAAAATCAAACAGTAGCAACTGATAGTCAACAATACATGATTTACTATGAGCTTTGGAAATCCCTTTTTAAACTGGTTTGGATCTAATTGCTACCGAAGAGCTCTTGAGGAGCAAGCATTAAGGGTAGATGAATGAGAGGGAATGATACAATGTCTGTCTTTTCTCCTGTTTTACAGCAAGTGGAATGGTGAAATGTTATAGTAAATCAGGTGATAGGTGAACTTCTCTGTTGGAGAACCTGTTAACTGGTTTAACAGTGGTTTTAGTGTCACTGTAACGAAGATCAGTAAACCTGACATGTTGCTAGCTGATCTCTTGTTTCTGACTATGTTTTATGAAGCTATATTGTGTCGACAGGCTGAATCTGGAGTTTTTCACACGTAACTCATTGACAACTGGTAATGAAGTGACTTGAAGTTAAGTGGAGCTTTAAGAAAGAGGCCTAATATGAATCAGCTATTGCAGATACAACAAAAATCTTGAGGACATTATTAACTATCCAAGAAAAAACATTCATTTTTTCCTTTATATAGCTGATCGCCTGGGGAAATTTATTGTTGCTGGAGGGGCTGCTGTTGGCCTGGGGGCCCTCTGTTACTATGGACTGGGCATGTCCAGTGAGATTGGAGCTATTGAAAGAGCTGTGTAAGTAAGATGGCTTACTGTTTTAAGTAAAGAATATGTTAAGCAAGTCTCCCTCCTCTTTCTATCCGTCTCTACTGGTGTCACCCAGTGTACACACAACTTACATTTTTTTCTTGAGCTCTGAACAGAAAGCCCTCGCCCCTGTGCAGGATTTTAAAGCGTATAACTGAAAGCAAAATTTAAATTACCTAAGCTTGAATGATTATTGACTTAAGTGAGTTCCTCTGTTTTGCTAAATTTGAAATTTACTTGTGAAGAGTATATAAATATGTCTTATGAGGTATGACACATAATTTATGAAGGGTAGTCTTCTGTAAAACACTAAGACTACTTTGCCTGCTGTTCCTGTGAGACTGTTCATTCAACTTTAATACAGCACATTGGAAAGAGAGTCTCCTTTGAACACGCTGCTCATCTTGGCATAAGCCCTGCTCTAATAAATGTGTTTTGCTTAAAACTTTGGTGTATTGTTTTTTGGCCAAAAAAAAATGACTGTAATGGCAAAACCATATAGGTACTTAGACTTAAAAGGTGGTTAGTGATAAGCATGGGCTTGGGAGAAATGAGTGCTGGAGACATTTTGTTTTACTTCCTCTGCATTTATACTTGGAAGTCACTGTATGCATTCATGTTGTATCCATGTTGTATCTACGAGAAGCTTTTAACTGATACAGCTATCTCTATTTTTTTCTCCACAAGCCTACTCAAAAGAGTAAAATGGAAGAAAATGTGTGCACTATGTCTAAGTTTGGTGTTAGCAGAGAAAACTTCTTGTCCATAGTATGACCAAATCATACTGCAGAAACTCGCATTCACATCTAGGTCTGTTGCTATTGTTAGCACTCTCAAAATGTCGTTTGTGTCTTGTCATGTCAGATAACCATGTGCAGTGTGACTCAGCAATTTGCAAGCTGCTCAGCAGGCTCCTTAGTGCCCAGTACACATTCTGCAGACATTTTTCCTTCAACTAGTTTCTTATATATATGCCATTCTCTATTTTTCCATAGTTAAAAAGCATCCGTTATTCTGTTTCCCTTATATGCTTCCTCCTTAGAATTGGACTATAATTAACAATGTTATTTGTAATTTGTAGTGTTTTCTAGAGAGTTATGTTACCTTAGACCACCAAGATTTAATAGTTCAGCCCCCTGTTGTAAGGAAAACTCACGGCAGAAGTTGCTAGACCATACCATTATTATGAAACCTCCCTTACATCTGTAGCTGTGAACATATTTAATAACTTGATTGTGTTTTTAGTTGATCTTCATTCTGATATTGGTAATTGTACAGCTGTGTGTGACTGCTTATTTTTCAGTATTTGGCCACAGTATGTGAAAGACAGAATTCACTCTACTTACATGTACTTTGCGGGAAGCATTGGCTTGACAGCGCTGTCTGCTGTAGCAGTAAGCAGATCTCCAGCACTTATGAGCCTTATGACAAGAGGCTCCTGGCTGGTAAGCGTATTTTATAAGTTATAAAAATGTTCACTGAGAAAAGATCCAAAAGGTGATGGTTGATACATAAAAAAAGAAATGTGAAATGTAAACTGCCTAGTGAAAAGAAAGGCAAAACTTCACTTAACGCTGGTGTCCTTATCCATAAAGACTACTTAAGTATCCTAATGATGTTTTGTGATTTAAGATTTGATGATTCTAATTACATGCTGATCTGTGCCTTCTGTGCTTTGATAGCTTGTGAAAGACAAACTGCATGAGCAAAAAAATGCTATGCTATGCTATCCTTACCAGCTATATACAAGTAAGAACCTGTTATAAATAGCTGTCTCAGGCTAGTGACACTATTCCTGTTGATTTATACAAGTGGAAGCTGAGGTCCCTACACATTCGTACTCTTCCCTGTGCTTTTCTGTATAGCTCTTTGAAAGCTGTCTCCTGTTTGCTAAGGCTGAAATTATACTGGTAGGCAAATCATCCAGGCAAACTGCTAACAAAATGTGTCTGCTTAGTACGTACTCAGTGTGTTCAGTGGAACAATAATAGTTAAATGCCAACACCTACATAACTTTATGGAGATTAATTCAATAATGTGTCCTTGGTGATAAAACAAATTTGTACATTTCCGACCGGTTGCTGGATGATTCTGCCCGGAATCATCAGTAAGAGGAGGCAGTGAGGTTTAAAAATTATTGGTAGCAAAAGCACCTGAACTGAGTATTAGTTTTGTGTGGAAAAACGTACAAGAAAAAGGTAAGGCTAGTATTTTGAGTACCTTAATGAGGATTAGAGTAAGGGGTGGAACCATGTGTTTTCCTTCTCTTGTCTTACACAAGTAAGAGACTGTTGCCATTTTACTGCTAAACTTGGATTCCTAGAAGACTAAGTAAATGGGAATTACTGCAGAGATTTGAATGTAACCTTACAGGAGTAAAATTTACAAATGCTCCAGTTATAAATTAGGTTGCTCTTTTCAGAATTACACCATTGACTTTTAGACTATGAGGTTAGAACGGTGACCATATGTCCTAATGCTAACTTGAGCTGTGTAATGCTGTTTTACAGGCAATAGGTGCAACTTTTGCAGCTATGATTGGTGCTGGGATGTTGGTAAGGTCCATATCCTATGAAAATAGTCCAGCAGCTAAACATTTGGCTTGGATGATGCATTCAGGTATGTGATTTTAGTGTTCATTGTAGAGATGTCTGTGCTTTAGTGTGGCTAGATTCTTACTTTAACAAAACTTTGAATTTAAGGTAAATTTTTATATACTACTGTAGAAGAGTTAAGAATTTTCAGAGACCAATGAGAACTCCTGAATGTCAGGAAGTTTTTGTAAGTGTCATTAACATAACTCTAATATTTTTCATAATCTAAAAATCATGTTCAAGTTAAACTTGAGGTATGTACATGCCACATTGGATAAACTAATTGGTTTCGTAGCTGCTTTGGTTTCATGAATGCTTTCTGGCACTATAGCTTGTGTAAGCACTGTTGCCTATACTTAGCATTCTTCAGCTGTATAGGATAGAAAAGTATGTGAAAACTTGACTAGAAAAAATAGATTTTAGTATTACACTGTAGCTTCTTAGATACACGTTCCCAACAGGTGTGTAAGCTGTGAGTACAGATCAGTTTCTCACTAAAGATACCTACTTCGAACAGCCATGGTTATAATTTTTCAAAACTGTTCTGCCAGAAATAATTTATGATTCAAGGAAGACACGTGGATGTTGGGCACCAGAATCATGTTTGGCTCTCAAAAGCTAACATTTCTACAAAGAAGAAAGTGTGTTTATTTTAGTAATTGTTATTGAGTTAAACAACCTAATGTAATGTTAATGGACTAGGTAGAGGTTTCATACAAGACTCTAACAAAAAGTCTGACTTGCTTGCCTAACTAGTTGTTGTAGCAGAAATCTCTCCTACTTTTCAGTGTTGAGTGCCTCTATGGCTATTATGTAGTTGATTAGTCCATACTAAGTGTTGCTTACCCATTCTGTTTTGAACAGATCAATATGTTGACTTTTGTTAGTCTTTATTCCAAAGGCCAGCTCCCTGAAGTACACTGCAGAGCTAGATAGAAGTAGGTAATGGAATTTAAGGTTGCCAATTTATTGTGCTCCCTTATAGATAGGTGCACAATCAGGTATGTTGGTATTTTGTCATGTAAGTAGATTAGTTTGAGCCATGTTATCTGACTGGGGGGGGAAGTTTTGGCAGGTGGTGTTTTTACCAGAACTGTTCCAAATCTTATTTATTTTGTTTTGTTTTCCTTTGTCTAGGTGTCATGGGTGCAGTAGTCGCTCCTCTAGCCTTCTTGGGTGGTCCTTTGCTGATCAGAGCTGCCTGGTATACCGCTGGGATTGTCGGAGGGCTTTCAACTGTGGCCATGTCTGCTCCAAGTGAAAAATTTCTGAACATGGGAGGACCACTCGGACTAGGCTTAGGCTTTGTTCTTGCCTCTTCAATTGGTAAAATACTCTTTTAATACTGTCAGATAAAGTAGGTTATAAACTTAAGCTGGTAAAACGTAGCTCATGTTTAATTGCAGACTGGTCTGTCCAGTTAAGATTTGCCTTAAATACCCCTTGCAACTGTAGCACAGCAGAAAATACTCTTAAATTTGTTCTTGGAAACAAAGCCTGAAGTTACAGTTCTGGCAAGTGACCAATAGTGGTGACTTGTATTTTTAGTTTCTGCCAGTGACTAGGGAAGACAGTAAACGTGATCTTAGTTCTTGATCTACTTGTTCTTCTCCCTTATGTGTTTCTAGGCATTGTTATAGTCCTAGGGATAGGAGTACTTTCACATTAAGAAAAGTACATGATTCCCTAGGGTGTTAAAAATTACTGGATCAGGTTGTATATGTGACATCTTCAGCTTGTGTGTGAAAGCTTTCGGTATCAAAAACGCACCACAAATTGAGAATTGCATACTGATTGAAAAACGTGTGCTACAGTAACAGAAGTTTGACCCAACTCAGAGTAGCAGATACACATAGCAGCTTTCTTTAACACTACTGTACATTCCTCTCCAGGATCCATGTTCTTGCCTCCTACTTCTGCTTTTGGTGCTGGCTTGTATTCAGTAGCTGTTTATGGTGGATTGGTACTCTTTGGCATGTTCCTGCTCTACGATACACAGCATGTTATCAAGCGTGCAGAAACTATTCCGTATTATGGAGTAACAAAATATGATCCAATCAATGCGTAAGTGTTCTGTGTTAACACAGCTGGTGTCAATGTCTGTGTAAGAATTTGTTTCAGGCTATATTGAAGTGCTTTAAAAACAGCCAGACCTTTTGTTTACTGTTGAAAAGTGTATTGCTGCTGATATGAAGAATTACAGGGTTTAAAAAATAACTAGTGGAGTTAAAAATGAAACCATCTGCCAGAAATGAGAGAAATGGGTTTGAATGTGTGGTATCACATACTTCTAGCAGTACTTTCCAAAAAGTATTTTTGTTTTCTAAAGCATTGCTGGGAGAATTTATAGCTGCTTTCTGAAAATACCTGTCAATATCAGCTGAGACAAAAAATGTTAACTCTTTCACAGTCACTTAATATTCAGTAGTCTTTGTCACTAAATAAAAAAGCCTCAACAGCGTGATAGGTA